TTATACTGAGTACTGTAACAGAGCTGCGTTACACTCAAGAGAAAAGGTGTCAGTCTTTGTTGTTGTTCAGTTTGCATGTACATGTATTTGTTTTTCCTCATTAAAAAAATTATGTCTCAACATGTATACCGGTATACTGTGTAGCCAGCCCTGGACAAAACTGGAGCAGTAATTTTTTTTATTGTACAACTGAGGTGGAAACCTCAGGGTAGGTAGAATATTAAAATGTAGTCAAGCAAGACGAAAATGAAAATGAAAATTCACAGCACACATTCACTTTCTAATTTTCATTTAAGGGTCAAGATGGGAGTGCCCACACAACCGTTACAGCGATAGTCAGAGCGTCAACTGATCATAGAAATTAAAAGGTGTAGAGCAATGTCTGAGCATTTGATGTCTAGCAGTTTGATTTATCATTAAACTGAGTTGACAGCCACGGACATGGAATAAACATTTGGGACACATCTCATCTCAGCACCATCCTCTTCCAAATGAGGTCCAAAACTGCCAACTGTTCCCACATCATGGACATGTGTAAACCACTTACCGTATCAGACACCACAAGCGAGTTTTATGGGCATTTTAATTAAGCAAAGTGGTTTTCAATCATACATTGATAATTTCAACATACATGTACACTGTACATGACATGTATCATACAGGACTGGGGTAAACAGTTGACAATTCCTACACTGTATTGTTTTCCACATAACAAGATTCTGTGGGACTTATACATGTACATGGTATCATTGGTTTGAGTTGCTTGCAGTACAGTACATTGTACATGTACCATGTGTACCGGTACCAGTATGTGTACAACAATGCCCTTGCTCTATGGTACCAGCACAACAGTGTGCAATGTTACACACTGATCTGAATGGGTAATTTGTGTACACTACATGATAAATAGTCATGTTGTACCAATGATGCACTTTCTGTACCCTCTAACAAAATGTAGGCCTACCAGTAGCACCCATGACGGTAACAGCTTATAAAAATCAGTCAATTTCAAGTGTTCTGGCAAATTCTACGGTAGCGGCACCACTGATGCCTTAAACCCCACACAAATATCCCATAAAGCAACACAGTGTCTATTGTAATTTAGCAATTCCGTTTCCCTGCCTACTCAAACTATGCAAGTAGGCGTGCAAATATTTCGCCCTTACAGATGCAAAATACAGAACAAAAAACCTCCACCGCCAAGGTTAGATCTTTCTGATGTTTTTGGCATGGCTATTGGAGCATACCATGAGCATACACAGCAGTTTCGTTTTGAAAGATGGAGTTTGTTGAAATTACTTTGACAGTACCGGTACAACCACTTGTGAGGGGAAATGACTCACATGTGCCTGTGTATTCAACTCCAACCTTCCTTCAAGTCTTGGCAAACATCATGTACATGTACACCACTCATGTATTATACATGTACATGTATCAGTACATGTACAGGTGTAGTTTGCTCGGTAAACTACTAGTACAAACTACTAGTACACATTTTTGTTTACCTTTCTCACTCATTCTCACATGTACATGTACATTATTTACATGTACTTAAATGTATCTAGAACAACCCTAAAATAGACTAACCACAAGTACATACAATGAACATGAGGGTGCAGTGTGTAAATAAAGGCACTCCAGGAAAACTCCAATGAACTTGGGAGTTGGGGTTGCAAGACTGAGACTAACCACTAATCACTATACATGTACTTGCCTGTGGTTCTTCCATCCTTGCTTATGTACCAGACCTGTGGATGGTCCTTACAGAATATGTGTCAAAAGTTAGACATGAGAAGTAACACTACATGTACATAAGGTATCTGTAGTCTGGAAAAACAGATTAAAGCCATACCTTGACAGGTACATGTAGCAATGGTAATATTTATTAACACAAACTGTCTCATGTTATAAGAACTCAAGATTAAGATGGATTCCCAGGTAATATACATGTACATGTACAGTACATGGCAATTAAGTACATGTATGTACTGACCCTGCAGAGGCCTTTTTAGCCATCAATCTTCAGAACATTGTATACTGCACACGGTGACGTAACAGAGTAAAGTGTGTGGTACACATGTACTGGTACATGTACATGTTTACCAGTGCATACATGTACAGGACACTAACATGTGTACACTGCATTATGGTGCAGTCCTAGCACCAGCACCTTCTAACAATGTACAAGTAACTCTGTTCCGTTCTTCCAGATGAGCTCTTTCTCTGACCTGCCCAGTAATGCAAAAATAGGAATGTTAACATGTCTGTCAAAGCAATTTTTAATGAGAGTCCCAAAGTCTCCACAGCAATTAATGTTGCACATGTACATGATTTACCGTGCAATGAATCATTCAGCTTGATTTTTTATAACGGACTCAAGTTTTTTCCTCAGCATATGGTTTATGATTTGTACTCGCTTAACTTTTTAATTTTTTACTTTTTTATGAAACCTGTAAGTATTGAAAACTTTATTTTTTATTGCAATCACAGTTAGTTTTTGTCTTTGATACCTAACCTGTAAATTGGGATTTGTTCGCTATTGGTTATGGAAACAAAAATATAAATAAATAAATGTACACTGTATGTAAACTACACTGGACAGATCATGGACTTATCTGCACAGTGTACACTTTTCTGTCAACGTTGCATGGATACTGTTTCCAGGTAGACATCAAAATCATCTACTTATTAACCTGTTAGCTTTGATTAGCAAGACTATTTCACCACCACTAAAACACAACGCCCATGGGCTTGCCCACAAAATTGTTCCAAAGGTCACTGAATTGGATAGTCCCTATTATTGAAGAGTGATAATGCATCCTAAATTTGCAACCTTTGATAATGGTTGACCTAAGTAGTCCTTTAGCACAGAAACAATATTGCGAGGGCAGATACATGTACATGTATGTACAAATGTATGTACCAAGCCAAATATAGCCATGCTTATCCATTGCAGGAATCAGTCCAAATGTACACCATGCTTCCCCATGTTCATAAAAAAAACCTCAATATTTTCTTATACATCAATATGTATATAACAAGCTACATGTATTTAACAAGCTACGTATAAAGTTTGATACACTTTTGCTTGTTTAAAATCTATTTATTCTTACATGTCTACCTCATGATCAACTAGGTTCTGGTGCACAGAATTATGAAGGTATATTAATATGTATGTAAGTTTCGTTAAGGACATGCCTAACACAAGCTTTGCTTTTAAGGTGTTGCCACCTCTTCTGATACATATGTCTTTTAGACGTGTCTTATTATTATTATTTCTGCCACGGGAGGAAATAAATGTGTGTGTGTGTGTGTGAAAAATGAAATGAAAATTTATGTTTGTAAAGTAATTTATTAAAGTACTTCATAAGATATCACCACAAAAAGATCGTAACAATTTTTAATTCTTCTCTCAGTCAGCACATTGCCAAAATACATGTAATTGAAAAGTAAAAAACATTTTGCTTGTTCTCCACCAACGTTACACATACCGGTATATATGCCATGATCACATTTATGTAGAGGGATCTGGGATCAATCCTATCATGAAATATTGTGAAGGTATTGCTGGCAATGCATTGTTGAATGCTTGCTGCCAAGTTAAATGTTTATCAACACACTGGGGTATCAGTAGGGTTGGGAATATTACGTACAATATATACACAGTAATGAAGGCTCAAAAGAAACTGCACCTTGATGAAATCAGTCTGTCTCTCCGTCCTGTACCTTGGGCTGATCAATGGAGATTTATGCGATGGGGTAGGTGTGAAAACTTAATCCCTGAAAAGGGCCGAGTTTGTTTTGTCTTGTTTGTTTTATTTTGGATTTTTTAGCCTTCTCACTGCCTGGGAGTCTTTGAGATTTTGACAGAGCAAAGCCCAGTCTTTCTAGAAGTTGGCATGCAATAAAGACATCCACTGTAAACCCTTAACCCCTTGGTATTTTTGCCAGGATGTAACTTGAAATTCTACAAAATCTTCCAACTTCCTAAAAGAAGAAATGGATATTACCTCAATCCTCCTAAATCCTTAAGAAAAAGTTTTTCAGGTATTTGGGGTACATGCACAACTGTCCATGAACTTGAAACTACCAAAAAAAATGGAAATATAGGAACTGTGAGATTAATGTTGTAAGGCCTTCATGAATGTACAATGTTTGTAAAATTTGTGCCATGTACATGTAAGACATCAGTGGTAAAGCTGAAGAAGGTGTGGTACAATAATAAAAAAAGCCCCAGCTCTCATGGTTTGAGGGAGAATACAGATTATCATGCACAAATGGTCTGTCTGCTCAACTGACCTCAATCGGTGCTACTACACGATTCTGCATGACATCTCCAACTTAGGCCTAATTCTTTTCTTGAAAAAAAAGAAAGGTGTAAGTGGATGATGGCGGATTGTACCATCAGTTGACTGCATAAGATTGATTGATCATGCATATTGACTGATCACGCCCAATGCATGCAGACATGGCAGGCCTACTAGTACATGTATGTAATGTCATGTACATGTAGATACTGAGTTGAAAAAGTTTGACATAATTTTTGTTCCCGAATGTTACTTGCAGACTAAGCAAATGGCATGAATGGGAACATCGACTTAACATCCAGTGAGCATGCACATCAGTATTAATTTTGGATAGGCCCATATTTTGGTCGAAAGGTACTCATTGCAGTGAAGGCAGATTTGGCATTACAGAATTACAGTTCTGCCATGTCTGCGCTATTTGGGCAGGAAGTTTGCCGACGAGGACATCCTTGACTGTGCCCTGACACGCCTGTAGGCCTGGGCGGCTAGCAGCCCCTTGCTCCCACGCGGCAGTCGATGCATTGAAGAATGAAGGTAAGCTTATTCTGAACTGTACCGACGGCGTTATTTACTGTAGGTGAAATAAGTATTGCCTCAGAAGTCGTCAAAAATCAGGTTCCCAGAAACCACTAGAAATGACATCTCAATCAAACGGTTAAGAAACACAACAGAGAAATAACAGTGGCAACCTACCTCAGAAAGGGACACCAATCACTTGAAAATGAAGTTTTCCGCCCCAAACGTCCAGGCACACGCAACAACGGCCACGTTCACTAGTAGAGACCGTTGAAGTTGGTACACGCAAATAGTCTGTCCTGCGTTACGTAAATCCCGTTCGATGCTCAATGCATGATGAACGAGTAACAGTTGGTAGCACCGCAGCTGAGGAAGCACACCACTTGTCACTGCGGGTCTTCACAGAAACGACGGAGCGCCCTCCATTTTCTAAAAAGAAGCGCCTTCGTATTGATGCCCTTCTAACCAGGTACAATCGTTAAAGGACCTATAAAATGAATTCATAAATACCTCAGACAGTCTCGCTATTCAACAACGTGCAACTTGATGAGTATTAACATTTTGATATAGAGCCTGAAAGTGCTAGTTGACCCCTGCCGGTGCGCTTCCGGAACCTTTTATTAGAATTTTTAGAACTTTTGTAATATTTTCCGTTCAGTTTCTTCTTAAAAACCAACCCGGAAAAAGGGGCTTTGGAAAATATTTGCTATTATATCAATTTGTGGAAACTGAAAAGTTACCTGATCTAAAAGAGAAATATCCCGCCAAAATTGATCCATAACTTCCGAAAATCTAAAATACATGAAGAACAGTGCATTAAGACAGTCTCGTACGCAGCTGAACATTTAAGGCATGGACGTGTATAATAAAATCTGGACTCCCAATGCTAATAATCAGCTTATTGAGTCATTGAATCCACTCGCGGCCATTTTACCGAGCCGAATACAAAGTTTTCCTAGATCCTGGCAATGTCCGCCTTTGTTCTTCCCGACGTCAACAGAGGGGAGCCAACCCACGCCATTTGTATTCGGCTCGGTAAAATGGCCGCTGGTTGGCTTCTTTTTCATACAAAGGCATTGCAAGTCCAGGTTTTTATATACGTCCGTGATTTAAGGTTTGAAATTTTATGGTAGTCCATCGGTAAAGGCCGAAATAAAAACAGATCAAAATATTTTAGATAGTCTTATAAGTTATAGGTAATAAACTTAAAGCAACATTCTCCTTCAATTACGAAAGATTCTAATCTTTTATCTAACCTTTGCTGACAGCAACTGCGTGATGTCAACTCAACGGAATCTGGAACCCATCGACTGCAAATAGGTAAACCTTTGCAACGTTGTACAATCTCGCTTTCACGTAAACACAGGTACTGAAAACAAACGTGCGTAAACATGGAGACCTAGGTACGATATCGCCGGAAGTGAAAGGTCGTTAGGAAAATTCGTTTTTAGGCATCTCCGAGTCCAGGTGACTTTTCCTAAATATTACTTAGGGAAGACAAAGGTAAAATTCCAACAGGTGCGTTTGATGGGGTGGTTTCAGTTAGGATTTTTTCTTCCAAAAAATATCAACCGTGATTGGACAGCCCAACGTAAAATCCCAAAAGGAGGACCGCGCAGGGTTTCGGAAGCTAGCTGCGTGACATTTTACTTTCAGGCTCTATTGCCCGCTGAGAACTAATAATGCCCCCTGCGTAAATCACGCACTGTCGCCTTGATATGAGACAGTTTAATTGATTATGATTGGGCAAAAGTCTGTGCGCGCGCGGCTAGCCACGCGCGCGCCAAGACCATATAAGGGGATTCTTTTGGATAACCATGGGTGCGTTCAATTACCTTCCCTGAATACACCAGTGTTACACGCATGGGAAGCCTCGAAACGAGGCTAATCGAACGCTGCAGTGTATTCGCCAAGGCATTCTGGGAAAGAGGCCAAGTCCCCGCCAGTTCCATTATGTCCATGCTCGAACAGTCCGTCCGTGAAGTGCGGGCTGTGCTATGGGGAGTAAATAATCAAGGTCAGCCAATAGCAAATGTGCACAAACTGCCTATACATACACTGTACATGTACACTTCTACTATAGTGCAAACAGAATGTGCAATCAGCATTTGAAAATTCCACCTTTCCACATGAATAGCTTCAACCAGCATACTGATAAGGAAGGGTTGCCCCTTTGGCCATACACTACCAACAGCAGAGATCAAATACAAAATTATGAAACTTCAGCCGTGCTTTGACATGAAAGCTTTCCGTAGAATTTACTCCTGTTGACACACTCCAGCCCAAGAGTTGGAAACCTGAGCCCAAAATAGGGCACCAACACAAGAGTGGAACAAACCACCAAGGAGAGTGTTTCGAGAACTTTCAGTCACCTGCGCATATATCCACAGCTTGGTCAGTTGGTGCGCGGGCTATACTTGCCATCAAGGAAGTACCCCCACCCTTGGTTAGGGCCCTGTTAGGGCTACCCTTCATAATTAGGGTTGGCCTCCGTTAGGTTTACCGCCGTCATTAGGGTTGGCCTCCGTTAGGGTTAAGCTCGGTTAGGGTTGGCCCATCGGGAAACCATCAAGTCCTTCGGTCACTGCTGATTTTTTTGAAAATTACACACAAAATTGAAACAGCATGAACAGTGACAGAGTAAATCGTTTTTCAGAATTTCCACATGATTGCATGGGTATTTACCAGTGGAGTGTTGCTGCCAACAATCAAATGTTTCTCATGTCTCATAATTCATAAAACTGCTATCCCTGGCTTGTTCCAGTCTTTCCACCACTGGTGTAACTAACGCAAACGTGAGAAATGATTTTTCAATCCAGCCGCCATGACATCCAGGACGCCGCCATCTTGGCAATATAGGGTGCCGGCGCTGAACC